GTCTGGAGCAAGTCCGTGCAATGCCTTATAAACTAATAAAAGATTTTTAAAATCAATACGAAAACTAACAGGTAACAAGTGTAATGACTGTAGCCTAATACTGGTGTAATATGATCTCTCTTTTTGTTTTTTGTCAATATTCGAGCAGCAATATCAGAATCAGAATCAGAATCAGAATGAGCTTTATTGCCAGGTATGTTTACACATACGAGGAATTTGTTTTCGTGACAGAAGCTTCCACAGTGTAACAGAATGACAGTGACAGAACAAAAAAACAGATAATAAAAAAGAAGAAGTGAACTGAGTCCTTATTTTTTCCGAATAATTCCTCTTTGCCACTCTGATCTCTTTTTCCAGTGTGTATTTAGCCTGTTTATACAAGACATTGTCCCCCTTCCTTTGAGCATCTTCTTTGGCCTGACGGAGCTGTCTGAGTTTTGCTGTGAACCATGGTTTGTCGTTGTTGTGAGTTAGATGAGTCCTGGTAGGAATGCATATGTCTTCACAGAAACTGATATAAGATGTTACAGTCTGTGAGCTCGTCCAGATCGGTGGCAGCAGCTTCAAAAACACTCCAATCAGTGAGGTCAAAACAAGCTTTTAAATCCTGCTCTGCTTCATTAGTCCATCTTTTTACAGTCCTTAATACAGGTTTAGCTGATTTCAGTTTCTGCCTATTATTTTGGATTAATTGTAATTGGTTAATCGTATTCTTTGGTAGACCAGAAAGAAGGGCATTACAATAGTCAAGCCTGCTAGTTATAAATGTATGCATTAATTTTTCTGTGTTGCTCAGAGAAAGAAATGGTCTTACTTTAGCAATGATCTTCAGATGATAAAATGCTGTTTTGGTAATATATGCAGTCAAACATGAGCTTCAAAGTTAAAATCAGAATCAAAGACAACTCCTAAGTTTTTTGCCACATGGCTTGGGTTTAATCCGAGTATATTTAGTTTGGGGGTCAATTTCTCTCTCTGCGCTTTAGATCCAATAATCAAAACTTCAGCTTTATCTTGGTTGAGTTTGTAAGAAGTTTTGTGACATCCAGACATTTATGTCTTGGATGGAATTTGCGAGTGTTTCATTTTGCACAGGGTCATCAGGAGACACGGCTACATACAACTGTGTGTCATCAGCATAGCTATGAAAAGAGATACCATGCCTCCTGATGATATGACAAGAGGTAACATATATAGATTAAAAAGCAGTGGTCCTAAAACTGATCCCTGAGGAACCCCACATGGTACCTTGTAATATTCAGACAAGGTATTATTAAAGGGGTCCTATTATGCTCTTTTACAAAGTCTTGATTTTGTTTTGGGGGTGTACTAGAACAGGCTCTCATACTAGGTTGTTCGAAAAACACATTATTTTTCAATTTTTTCATTATTACAACACCTCTCTCCCTCTTCTGGCATGAACGGCTCAAATAGTTCCTGTATCAAATGAAGGCCCGCCTTCTGAAATACGAAATGTGCTGTGATTGACAGGGATCTACGCTTACTTTTCTTTTTAGGAGCACTTGTGCTCCTAACTTAAAAAATTTAGGAGCACGTTCAAAATTTTAGGAGCACCTTCTAAACAATTATCCAAAATTTGATCAAAAAGTAGGTTAGCTGGGCCGGTGTGTGCTGTGATTGGTTAGCTGGGCCGGTGTGTGCTGTGATTGGTTAGCTGGGCCGGTGTGTGCTGTGATTGGTTAGCTGGGCCGGTGTGTGCTGTGATTGGTTAGCTGGGCCGGTGTGTGCTGTGATTGGTTAGCTGGGCCGGTGTGTGCTGTGATTGGTTAGCTGGGCCAGTGTGTGTTGTGATTGGTTAGCTGGGCCAGTGTGTGTTGTGATTGGTTAGCTGGGCCAGTGTGTGTTGTGATTGGTTAGCTGGGCCAGTGTGTGTTGTGATTGGTTAGCTGGGGGCCAGTGTGTTGTGATTGGCACCACTCGGCGCCTGGTCGGTAAATGTCATGCCCCTTACCATAGCCGCCTGCGAGCTTCAGTGTAAATATTGCGTCAATATCAAATCAATTTGAGCACGATTTAAACCCGGATTATTGTAACCACTCTAAGTTCATATGCCTTGGGAAAGCTAGCGTGTCTTCGACATAGTGATAACACTCGTTGCCTTCTCTAGTGCAGCTCAACCAGGTCTCGTCCCATTCGTCAGTATTTGTGATATCACAAATCCCGGAAAATATACGTTGTAGTCCAAACGAGTCATTCGTTGTAGTTTTTGAAAAGTGATTTCTGTTAAATAAAATATCTCCTTTTGAAGTGGACTTTGAACTTTGTAACTTTGCAGATCTTTTTTTATGCTCAAACAGCAACATTACAGACTAACTAAAGTTGAAAAAGTGAAAAAGCATAATAGGACCCCTTTAATAGATACTACAAATGGTCTTTCACTAAGATATGATAAAAAACAATTTAAAACGGTTCTAGATAGACCAACATAGTCACTTAATCTATTTAAAAGAATCTGGTTATCTATTGTGTCAAATGCAGCACTCAAGTCAAGAAGCACCAAAACTGAAGGCCAATTTCTGTCAAGGTTTATGTTTATGTCATTTACAACTTTAATAAGAGCGGCCTCTGTACTATGGTATTTTCTAAAACCAGACTGAAACCTCTCTAGTTTCGAATTTGCATTTAAGAATGTACTCAACTGATTAAACACTATTTTCTGTAATATTTTACTTAAAAATGTAAGATTTGAGATGGGTCTATAATTACTAGGAGTTAAAATATCTGAGCTCCCTTTTTTATACACAGGTTTTACTAGGGCAGGTTTAAGATCAGGAGAGAAAATGCCAAGATGCAGGGAGTGATTTACTATCTCAAGGATATTGTAACGAATCATCCACTGAAGGCGAGAGTAGTGAAGAACCCAAGTGCAGTTTATTTACAGTGTGATCCAAACATCCAAACAATAATCCGAGACTTGACTTGACATGAACAGATTTGACTTGACGAGTCATGAACAGACTTGACATGAACAGACTAGACTCACCAACAGCGGGATAAATACATTCAATACACGACGACAGACAATGGCAACATGATGGCTACTTATAGGAAACAAGAGGGTCACATGACAAGAACAAACCAATGGGAAACAAGACACATGACTAAAACAACCAATCAGAACATGACACATACACAAGGCTGAGATACATGAAGGCAAGGGAAGTATGACACAAACAGCATAAAACAATTACAAAATAAAAGACATGGAAACATGAACAAGACAAAACCCAAACACCACATTACAGATATCAATAGATATGGAGTCAAAAAATACTTTTAAAAAGAGAGGTAGGAATTAGATCAAAGGAACAAGTAGATGGTCTCAGTTCTGTTTCAACCTTTCTTAGTGTCTCACTCTCAACATCAACCAAAGTAAAACTTTCCATTTTAACAGTATTCTCTACACCTAATAATAGAGGAAGCATAACTGACCGATTATCATTTATTAAACAGATTCCTGATCTAATGTTTATAACTTTATCTTTGAAGTAGCAAGCAAACTCTTCACATTTCGAACTTGGTAACTCAGAACTATAATCAATTTTATGATTTATTAGTGAATCTATTGTATTAAATAATATTCGGGGATTATTAATGTTTGCATTTATAAGGTTTGAGAAATAAGTTTGTCGTGTTCTATGAATTTCTTTATTGTAAATTAAGATTTCCAATGAGTTTAATTAAGTGTATTTCTAGTTTAGTTTTACGCCATCTTCGTTCAGCACTTCTACAGTCTCTTTTAAGTTTCATGGTCTGATTTGTCTTCCAAGGAATTTTCTTTTTTGTAGCTAACTTTTTAGTTTTAAGTGGAGCAACTGTATCAAGAGCTGTTCTCATTCTATTATTAAACTCATTAACTAAATCATCACAGGACGATGGTAAAATGTTCCTTTCATAAGTCTTATAATGCATTGTGAGATTTTCAGCCACTTCAGAGGTAATATTACGTTTTTTAACAATGCGTTCAGTTGCATTTGGCACAGAATGATCAAAACTCTAAAAAAAAAAGACACAAAAGTGATCAGATAATGCAAGATCAATGACAGATGTTATATTGATATTTAATCCATATGTTACGACTAAATCTAATGTGTGACCACGTTTATGTGTGGGTACGTTTATATGCTATTTAAAAAACATGTATTCTAACAGTTCCAAAAATTCTTTAGCTCTAATGTCTGATGAATTGTCAACATGTATGTTAAAATCCCCAGTTAAAACACAGTTTTCATAACTCATATGAATGACAGACAGCATGTCAGAGAAATCCTTTATGAAAGGGGGGATGGGTAATTTTGGTGATCTGTATAATGTCACTGCAAGAAGACGAGGTTGAGAGTTTAGCAAAATAGCATTATATTCAAAGGTATTAAATTTACCAAAGTCAATGTCCCTTCCCTTGAGGGTTTCTCTGTAAATTGCTGCTGACCCTCCACCCTTTATTTCTTTTCTAGTTGAAAATGAATAGGTATAGTTGGGTGGGCATATCTCAATCAGTGTGGCAGGTGCATCTGTGCCCAGCCAGGTCTCAGTAAGGAAAACACAGTCCGAGTTAAAATCACTGATAAGATCATTAATACAAAAGGATTTGTTTGTTAATGCACTTACATTAAAGAGAGCCATGTTAATTTCTGTTGATTTTGTTACCATAGGTGTTGAAGTACTAGATGTGGGAATTTTCAATAAATTATGCATATTTATTCCCACTGTGTTTTTCTTACCAATATAGTGACAAACTGAAACAATAGGTTTTAAGAAAAATACAGTTGTACATTGGGTAGTTAGTCAAGATAAAATATGTTGTTCAATATGATGTGCAAGCATCTGGGAGCCCCTTTGATTTTGGTGCAAGCCATCTCACCTGAAAAGCGCTGGACGGCCCCAAAACAGATCAAAATTGTCTATAAAGATGACATTGTATTTGTCACATGTAGATTTAAATCACCTCATTTTTTGTATCTCTCTCTCCCATCACTCACCTCTGAAACCTGCTCAGCGGTCAATATCTGCTGAGCCAGCACCTCCACATTAGTTGTCATGGTGATGTGAAGTCATTAGAAGTGTCTGATTGGACAAAGGCCAGCTCTGCATCTGCCAACAACACCTCCACCTATGTGCCAATCAAATACAGATATTAAAGTATAGTCAGTAAGTTTTGCAAGCACAAAAGAATATTATATGCAACACCTGAAGTTTTTCCTTTAGACAGACACTTCATATCTGCAGCTTTTGGAAGATTTCATAGTTGGTTTGATCTAGGCATGAACAAAATTCAAATAGTTTACATTAGGGCTGCACGATAAATCGCATTTTACTGACAAGATGCGCGTTAAATATCGCATGCGATTTATCGTGCAGCTAGTTTACATCTTTAACTCCACTCCAGCAAAGCTATGATCACCGTCCACTCTTGAATGTTGAGAATGTTGGCACTTCTTTACAATTATAATTCAAATCCGTTAAAGGAATGTTAGGCTGCATTAATTAAGTCAACTGGAACCGGGAACACTTCCCACAATGCCCGATGTACTCGCTACATCGTAAGAAGAATGGCATCTACGCTAATATTAGTCTCTTTCATTCTTATTCCGAGGTCACGGTAGCCATACGGATCCAGTTTGTATCCAGATCAGATGGTGGATCAGCACCTAGAGATAACCTCTACAGCCCTGAATGTCAGCAGACACCATGTCAACTAAACAAACCCTAGAGACAGATCCCCAGCGAAAACTTTATCGGCCATCGGCACAAGTCCATGAGAATCAGACGAGTCCTCTGCTCAATCTGACGTGCGTTGCAGTTTGGAATTACATCATGCTGGTTTCGTTTGTCTCCAGAGGAGAACTGCCCCTCCGACTGAGCCTGGTTTCTCCCATGTTTTTTTTTTTCTCCATTTCTGTCAAAGATGGAGTTTTGGTTCCTTGCCACTGTCGCCTTTGGCTTGCTTAGTTGGGGACACAATTTCTGGCAACATTGTTGACTTGACTGCACAGACACTATTAGAAGAGAACTGAACTGAGCTGGATGATGACATCGCTGAATCAACAATGAACTGACTTTAAAGGTGCAGTGACTGGTGCACTAATGCCGAGTTCACACTGCACGATATTAGCCTGATTTTTCACTCGCCGACAGGTTTTGCTAAATCGCCGACAAATGCCCGAAATCGGAGGCAAATCGGTGCTCGTTCACGCGAGTGACAATCACGCAGTGTAAATGATCAAAGACGCGATTTGAGGGAATCGTCGATGCGTCACCAACGCCTGCAAAATATTTGGCATGCTAAATATCTGGAGCTGTCGGCGATTCACAATCACGCTGTGTGCAATGATTTCTGACTGAAAACTACATCGGCGATGACCTACAGCCAATGAGAGACCAAGATACAGGGCAGAGGGAAGTTCGGGGAGGAGTTATAGACCAGAATATCAGTATTTTAATAGATATATGAACAATTATATCATACAGAAACAAGCACAAACATTTGCTTGCCCAGCCACAGCATCAGCATAACAGTTACTGCAAAATTATTTACCTCCAACTCTCTTTGCAGAACATCCAATCCCTGTTCCCTGCATCTCCCTCCTGCATAATCTGTTTTTCTTTTTCTCCTTGTAGCTGGAAATCAGCTCACAGACCATTTGAGGGCTATATATTGTTTTTTTAATAATTCCAGTCTTGCTCGAGAACTCCGGTCTGAGCACGCGGGCTCTTCGCGCTATTTCCTTATCACTTAAACCACGGTGACCCGACGACTTTGAAAATCGTGCAGTGTGAACTCGGCATAAGCGAATTTTGCCAAATGATATTGATAATTGAAAGAACCAAAACAAACACGCCCCTACCCAACAGGACCTCACCATAGACTGTAAAAATACATGGAAATAGTGTCCGTGACGTCACTCATAGTCACACCATTTTTCATTTGATTTAACAAATCAATTATTCATTAGATTAACAAACATTCACAGACCCCTCACCCAATAAACATACTGGGTGCCAAGTTGTCTGTGAACGAGGCCCAGGACACTGGTTACCATGGCAACCACGACACCTTTGCTAGACCAGATACATTTACGACCTAATGGCATGTTGAGAATTTCTGAGAGGTCTGAGAGGTCAAGTAAATATCTACAGCGGATCTAAATATTTATAATTAATTATAACTAGTTATTCATATTTCCCCATGAGCTGATTCGCTCATCTGCGCCGCCGCGCGCTCAATCCACTCAGCGTGCTTTGCTTATCAGCTTGCGCACATCAGCTATACAGTCAATACTGAATGTTTTATATTCATTACATACATATACTTCGTAGACATCCTTAATCTCTAATAACTCCATTCTGCTGTCTGTTGTTCTGTTGTCGTGTTTCATTGTCTGAATATGGCACTAAACACATGCTGTATGGTATCGGCATTTGGTATTGGGGCATTTTAACGAGTACGAGTACAGGAGCTCAGTATCGGACCTCAGTGCATCCCTAAAAAAAACCCATATCGGTCGACCACTATTCAGAATATCAAAATATAAACATCGCAGCCGGCCAACGGAGAACATAGAACAATCGCGCATTATGTGAAAGGCAATATTGGAAATGGCATAATAGGGGCACTTTAATGTTAGCGAACATTGCAAATAAATTGATTGCAAAACGGTATCCACTCACGTTTAACTTTTTGTCTGGTTGTTACGGTCAGAAAACAAATGATATCACATTACTATGTTATAGCCTAGCCAATGATCACTTGATTTAATACAGATGTTACTATAATGATTCTGTAAATGGTGATCAGCACCCAAATATTGTATATAATGTGGAAGCTACTGCCTTTTGCCTTGGCGTGACATCTCACTTTTTGCAGACAGTGCAAAGGCAGAGTACCTACAATAACTTCAAAATAGCGGTAAAAATCAAGTTTGAGATCATTTTCATTAAAACATCTAATTGCCAGATTTCCAGTGTCCTACCCATAATTATTTTTTCTGGACAAATAAAAATCTTTAAAACCATTTTTCTAAGTTTCACAGTCTAGCGAGTTTCTAGCAGTTGCTCAAGTGGCCACACCCTTAATTATGCAGAACTTTAAGGCTTAATATAATTTAAACGGATGAGTTATAAAAAAAAAATTCGCCCCCTCACAGTTGTCATGAAGGGCAAAATTACCTATATAGACCAAAACCACTTTTTGTACCAGGCTGTAAACATATTTTTTTCTGCTGTAAAGTTGGGCATTTTAACATGGCAGGTCTATGGGACTGACTCCCTTTTTGAGCCAGTCTCTAGAGGCCAGTAGATGAATTGCAGTTTTAGTCACTTCCGTGTTGGTTTCAAGCGAGAGACCGGGAGGTTGCCGCTTGGACCTCACCCATATTTTGATAACTCCGCCCCACACATATGTACACAACATTGGCAGCGACGATGGCGGAATCTGCTATGCCTGCCGGCTGAGGGTATGATGTCATCAATAAGTGAAAGCGATGTGTGTTACTACGGTTAATTCAGGTTGAATGTGTGTGTTGAATGGTTTAGCTCCATTTCACGTGGAAGACGACGTTATATTGCTGTATTATATTTTGGAAGTAACTTACCCAACACTGCCTATTTAGTATGTAAACCATGCTTTTGTAGGCTACTTAAAGTGCTTTCCGAGAAAAAAAAAAAGAAAATATCACTTTTCACATGAACAATATGTGCTTGGCCCGAGCTCAGGCTGAACGACACGGATTGTACGGACGATTTTAATTAACCAGTGTATCTATATTTGGTTGACTGTATTCTATTCTGATAATGAACGGATGCAATGTTTGCAATGCTGTATGTGTGTGTGTGAGGCGCCGGCGCGATCGA